CCTGTGGATGGGAAAGATGCAAGAATTTCTGTTGTATCGGGGCCAACAATTGCAATCTTTTGCCCAATCTGGGTCCTACGGTTTTTTATCTCCATGAATTTAGGTGGATACATCTGTGTGGGCTGTGTTTGAGTGCATCGTGTCTGGCAGCCAGTGCAGAATCTCAGCCATGATCACTGTCGGCTTTCACATGCATTTCCGAGCTTGCCCCCTAAATGTCCTCTTTTAGTCCATTCTCAACACCACAGTCACTTTCAGGGCTTAAGCCAGACCACGCCATCCTTCTTTTTAAATCACTCTGATGGTTTCCCATCTGTATTCATTTCTTAGGGCTACCGTGACAAAGTACCACAGACTGGGTAGCTTAAAACAACAGGGATTTTATCACAGTTTCAGAGGTTGGAAGTCAAAAATCAAGGTATGAGTAGGGCCATGCTTCTTCCAAAGGATCTAGGGGAGAATCTTTCCATGCTTCATCCAGCTGTGGTGGTGGCCAGAAATCCTTGGTGTCCCTTGGCTTGTGGCCCCATCTCTCCAATCTCTGCTTCTGTTGTCACATGGCCTTCTTCCCTGTGCATATCTGGTGTCCTCCCTCTTCTTATAAGGACACCAGTCATTGGATTTAGGCCCCATCTGATTACAGTATGGCCTCACCTTAACTTGATTACAATCGCGAAGTCTCTTTCTCCAGATAAAGTCACATTCCTGGGCCCTGGAGGTTAGAACTTGAGCACATCCTTCGGGGTACACAGTTCAGCCCACCACACCATCTTACTCAGAACGGAATCTGACCTCTTTGTACCTAAGGCCCCACCCCTATGGCTTCTCTTCCCCTCCCCAGCATCTCAGCAGTCTCCCGGTGGATAAGTGTTCCATGTGGATTTTCCATCTCCTGAGTAGTCCTGACATGCTCCCACCTCCCAGTCTCTCCCTCGCCTCTCTGTCTCCTGGTCTTGCAACGCTGCCTTCTTTCCTGCAGGGCTGTGCTCAGTCAGGGCATGCCACCTCCTCTTTGTCGCTGTGTGCTTCATAGGCTCACCACCCCTGAAAGGACTTCCTAGTTCGTTGTCTTGTTTATTACCTCTCTCCTCCATGAGCACGTGAGTTTCAGGGAGCAGGGCCTTGCCTGTCTTGCTCCTGCTGCGTGAGCAGCGGCTACAACAGAGCACCCAGCCTGGCATTTGCTGAGTGAGTAGGAGTTCCCTCCACAGCACCCAGACGAGGGGCCGCTCCGAGTCCACGTGGACACCTCCGTTATCAGGACACCTGACTCTCATTCTTGGCAACATTTTCCCTGCCTTTCTGTGCCTTCCTTCATGTCTCCTACACACCTTGGCCTCGTGTCTACCCCACACAGCAAGTTCAGTTTTTCTGGAGTGGTATAAATTGCATGTTTTAAGGAAATTTGGGCCGTTCATATGCATGCATTTTTGGCATTAAATTTGTGTTTTAAATCTTGGAAAGAAAATATGTTGAGACTTTTTAGATGCCTTTCACTTATTCAAAAGCTTTAAGATTTTATTTTACTTTACATTTCTATGCGCTTAGTACCTTTGTGGAGTTTTTATTCTTGCAATCATACCACAAGATGACCCAGGGTCTGGAAAAAAATCATTCAAACCAAATGACTTTCCTTTACCTCACTTCTTGAGGTACTTCATATTTACTTGGGGTGCAGGCTTTCAGAGCTCTCTGGATTTAAATGCTGGCTCCATCGCTCTGAGCACATGGAGAAGATAGAAGCAACACACGCTCACCGTAACAATCCTCAGAGAGTAATGCAAAGGCCACATGTTCCTTGTGCCACCCCCTGGCCTCCCAGTCACAGAGCTCCTATGCTCTATGGGTAACCTGGCCTCCCAGTCACAGAGCTCCTATGCTCTACGGGTAACCTGGCCTCCCAGTCACAGAGCTCCTATGCTCTATGGGTAACCTGGCCTCCCAGTCACAGAGCTCCTATGCTCTACGGGTAACCTGGCCTCCCAGTCACAGAGCTCCTATGCTCTATGGGTAACCTGGCCTCCCAGTCACAGAGCTCCTATGCTCTACGGGTAACCTGGCCTCCCAGTCACAGAGCTCCTATGCTCTATGGGTAACCTGGCCTCCCAGTCACAGAGCTCCTATGCTCTACGGGTAACCTGGCCTCCCAGTCACAGAGCTCCTATGCTCTATGGGTAACCTGGCCTCCCAGTCACAGAGCTCCTATGCTCTATGGGTAACCTGGCCTCCCAGTCACAGAGCTCCTCTGCTCTACGGGTAACCTGGCCTCCCAGTCACAGAGCTCCTCTGCTCTACGGGTAACCTGACCGGCAGTTTCTTTTGTATCCTTATGGGCGACTTTTTCAATCTCTTCACGTCACAGCGAACTTTTCCTGTAAAGGCCTAGTTAGTAAATACGTTAGGCTTTGCAAGCCATATAGTCACACTGACCAGTGTGAGAGCAGTCATAGACAATATGTAAATGAATGGGCAAGGCTGTGTTTCAATAAAACTTTATAGACCCCCAAATTAGATATGATTTTCATGTGTCAACAATATTTTTCATTAGCTTTTTTTCCCCTATCATTTAAACATGTAAAAACCATTCTTAGCTCATGGGCCACATGAAAACAGGTGGTAGACAGGTTTGGCCCTCAAATCCTGCTCTCCTGGGGGTAAAAAGGCACAGCCATCATGCAGGACCATTGTGATAACAAGTGAGCATGAGCTTTAATAGCACAAGGCATATCACTTGATAGTCTTTCAATAAAGGGGGTTCATTGATCCGAAGCAGAGTGGAGAACAGGTGCTTTTCCTGACACAAAGCTGCAGTCAGAGGGCCCAATGCTCTTTGCTCATGTATAATTTTAAGTCTGCTGCTCTGACACCCACTCACCATCTAAGGCATTGAGCAGTTTTCCTCCAATGCTGATGCAGTCCAGCAAGGAGTGAAGTTTGCACCCCTTTTCATACTTTCCCTCATTTTATTTTATTTTATTTTATTTTTCTCTGCTGTCCCTCTGCCAGTCTCTTCTCTAGGCTACCTGTGTTTGTGCTCTGAAAATTGCCAGTATTGTGGGGGCCTGGGAAAAAGGGATTAGGAGGACTCAGAGTTTGAAAGCCTCACCTTAGGAAGGTTTATGCAAAGGGACGTATGGGGAGAAGAACATATTGTGAGATATGGAGAAAGGAACAGGTCACAGTCCTAAGGTATGCATGGGAGGAAAAACACCACAGGGATACTACCTCTTCCTGGAAAGTGTGTTATGCAGAGTTAAAGATGATAGATTACAGCCCTGGAACCAAAGTGTATGCCTCCTGCTGGCTCCAGTCTCATTTCTACTCTTACCAGAGCTGTGCGGCTGGGGATGGTTACTTAACCTCTGGGGCCTGATAGCTTCATATGTAAAATTACGGTGATAATCACAATAGTATATACCTCATAATGTTGCAAAGATTTAAAAAATTAGTATGTGCATAGCCCTTAGATTAGTGCCTAGTATGGGGCATTGAATAAATGTTAATTTTTAAGTAAACTTTTTATTTTGGAATAACTTTACATTTACAGAAAAGTTGTAAAGATAATAGAGGGAGTTCCCATATTCCCTTCACCCAGTTTCCCGTAATTGTTAACAACTTAGATAACTGTGGCACATTTAGCATGACTAGGAAATTAACATTGGTACAACACTATTAACTAACTCCAGTACGCATCTGGATTTCACCAACTCTTTCCTCTTGTGTCCTTTTTCTGTCCCAGGATCACACAGTGCAGTCAGTCTCCATATCCCCTTAGTCTCCTCCAATCTGTAACAGTTTCTCAGACTTCCCTTATTTTTTTAAGACCATTCCCCTTTCGAAGACTACTGCTCAGGTATTTTGTGTAACAGGCATCAAGTTGAGTTTGGCTGATATTTTTTGTGATTAGGCTGGGGTTAGTCTTGGGGGATGAACAGCACAGAGGTGAAGGGTCCCTCACCACAAGGACACATGATCTTAACACGATGCATCACTGGTGAGGTGAACCCTGATCCCTTGGCTATGGTGGCATCTGCCTGATTTCTCCACTGTGAAGTTACTATTTTTCTCTCTCCGTACTTGTTTTAGTCCGTTTTGTGTTGTTATAACAGAAATACTTGAGACTGGGTAATTTATAAAGGAAAGAGGTTTATTTGGCTTACGATTCTGGGACAGCTGCATCTGGCATGGGCCTCAGGCTGCTTCTACTCATGGTGGAAAGTGGCAGGGAGCCGGCGGGTACAAGCAGATCACATGGCAAGAGAGGAAGCAAGAGAGAGAGAGAAGGTGCCAGGGTCTTTTTAAGCAAGGAGCTCTCAGGGGAACTCATAGAGCAAGAACCACTCATTAATCCCCCCTCCCCCAAGGAGAGCATTAATCCATTCATGAGGGATCCACCGTCATGACTCAATCAGTTTCCAACACTGCCACATTGGAGATCAAATTTCCACATGAGTTTTGAGGGGGACAGCACATCCAAAGTCCATTAGTACTCTGCTGTAGGAAGTGAGTCACTAGGTCTAGTTCACACTCAAGGGGAAGGGATATAAACCCCACCTCCTGGATTGGGGAGCAGCAGCATAGATATTCCCCTATGTTATTTGGAGTTCTGTAGGAAAGATTTGTCCCCTCTCCCTTATGTATTTATTTATTCAATCACTTATTTGTATCAGTATAGGATCATGGATTGTTCCAGCTTTGGCCAATGGGTGATGGTTTCCATGTCCTTTTGACATGCCCCATTTTTTTTAAAGCATGCCCTTACTTCTGATGCTACAAGATTCTCTAGGCTAATCTGGGATTTCCCCTAATAAAATAGGGCAGACCCCTGATATTCCCCCTAACTATCCCTCTAACCTCAGGCAAAGCAGGCCTCAGCTGAGGGGCAGGGAATAGCTACCGAAAAATCTGCTTGACCAAACAGGACGGGCTGAATTCCTAGGAGTACAGTAAAGGTTGCTTAACCATAAGATAAGAATGGAATTAAACATGTTTCTCCTTAGGCTGAGATGTCTGTTCCTTGTCAGAATGGCTTAAGACAAAATCTGGGACTACCATCTTGAGTTGTCTTGCAGCACACCATCAACCACGAACCTGCTTTGAAGTTCATACGCCCCAGACTCAAAGGAGCCAAGGAGGACCTTAGTCAGCATGCCGGAAATAGTTGCGCTGACTTCACTGTGAGACAATCAGATTCCCACACAACTTCCAGGACCCCCACTCATGATTTTGCTCTATAAAAGCTTGTGAGTTTAAGCTACCTAGGAGGTCGAGGTCTTCAAACTCCTTTAGCTGCCTCAATATCCTTGACTGTCCATTCAAATAAACACTGTTCATTATCACTGCAAACTTTGGTGTGAGAAACTGTTTAGTCATTTGGTGGTGGACAACAGACCCCCTCTTGGTTCAGTAACACTAATTCAGTTATTGATACAATCATAGGATTGTAGGAGGATATGTGATGTAGGGCACTTTTTACTGCCTCCTCTGTTGAGAGCCCCCTTTCCCTGGAGGAACATGCCCCCCTCGATTCCTTGTGGTCCTGAGATGTCAGTCATCACTATGCCTCCTGCTGGCCACAGGTAGAGGGTTGATGCAAAGAGCATGTGACCCCCTGGGCCAGCGTGGCCCTCTTGAGGTGGCTACATTAACCTTGGGAAGAAGAGATTCTCTTTCACTGCATTGCTAAACTGGGAGGCTGCTGGTGACCATCTTCCCCACCTCGTGGGAGAACTTGTCTGCAGAAGAAGAAATGCGTTGGGAGGCAGAGCTGACCTTGAGAGACACACAGCCCTGCCTGTGTAGTTTTAACCTTTTATCCAGTTCTGCCTGACACTCTTCTGACACCCCACCTGCCCGACCCAGGACATTCCCTCTGTTTTCTGAGCTCATCATATATGTGAGTATAAGAAGTGCCTAGTGCAAGAGCTACATCCCTCTGCCGATCTGTCCCTCTGTAGAATTTACACCTCGTCTACTTCAATTGACACCACAACACAATTCTCATACTTGTCCTGGACACAACCATCCTGCTTATAGAATCAAATCAAACTTTAAGTGCACTTCAGGAGACTGCTTTTTGGAACCTAGTAATCACCCTTGATTTATGCTTTATGCAAGTACATATTTAGTATATCAGGTTTGTTTAAAATGATACAGATTTTTAATGAATTTTTGCACTAATTTAAATATCAATATATCCCTTTAATAATTCAGTAATAATAATACTACTTAATGCTTGTAAAGATACAGTGGAAGAGGTAAATTCTTATTTCACAGGTTATCAGAGTAAAAGGTAATACAAATCAACATCCATAAAATTATGGATGTTTTGATTAAGCAATTTTACTGGGGGATTTAACCCAAGGGATGAACCCCCAAAAGAAAGAGTCTTATATATAAAAATGGTTATTGCAGTCTGGTTATGTAATAGAGAAAGATAAAAAACAATCTAAATGTTCCACAATAGTGTCTTCTTGAAAAAAAAGTGAATGCTTAACTCTCTGAAATATTATGTGATTTTAAAACATTATAAATAAAAAGATACTCAAGCTCAATAAAAATACTTGTTATGGAGGTTGTGTTAGTCAGGATAGGTTATGTTATGTAGGAGAAGGGGAAGACACCCAGGACTGGGGGCACAGAGGAAATGCCATGTGAGGACACAGTGAGAAGGTGGCTGTCTGTAAGCCGGGAAGAGAGGCCTCCCCAGAAACCAGCCCTGCTTCTTGATCTTGAACTTGCAGCCTCCAGAACTGTGAGAAAATAAATTTCTGTTGTTTAAGGCAAACATAGTCTGTAGTATTCAGTTATGGAAGCCTGAACAGACTAATATAGAGGCAGAGAGGTACAAGCCTTGCATATTTCTGGAAGTGAGATATGCTAGAAATAATTGATGAACTGTCTACTCGAGAGGATGAAATAAAAACCCACAAAGAAATAGAACAACACATTACATGTTTGGTATAATAGCCTTATGATAATATGCTTTCATTTTTCTCTTCCCAGTCTTTATGCTATTCTTTTTTTCTAAATTGTTTTATTGAGATATAATTCACATACCATAAAATTCACTCTTTTAGAATATACAATTCAGTAGGCTTTTTAGTATATTCACAAAGTTGTGCAACTCTTACCACTGTCTGGTTCCACAGCATTTTCATTACTCCAAAAGGAAACCCCGTACACATCAGCAGTCATCCCCCATTTCCCTTCCTCTAGTCCATGGAAACTACTTGTCTCCCTTTAATCTTGATGGCTTTGCCTATTCTGGATATTTCACACAGAGGGAATCATATGGCCTTCCAGCCCTGTCTCCTTACATCGTGACGTTCCCCCTCTGTGCTGCCTGCTGGAAGCTCTCTCTAGCCTGGGGCAATTTTAGGGCTCACCTGGTTTGTTTCTTGTCTCTTGGTGATCACTGTCCTCCACTAAGTGATGTCTAGTGTCTTGAAAACTGAAGTTTCTTAAATTTTGTTATGGCTGTTGCTTTCTCAATTAAGAAGATAAATACAATTCCTGTTAATCTGTGTTGGCTACAAGTGGAATCCCCTGAATAGCTTTCACACAGTTTATATACTGTGCTTTCACGTGAGATTTTCTTGAATAGTGTGTTCTTCAGATGGACAACGAGGTGTGAACACTTACGATGTAGAGCAGTGATCACAGGAAAAAAGTGGGACAGGAGAGGAGAGACCAAGATTTCACTGTGTTCTGTTCACCCCAGAAAACTCAGGGGCAGCTTATAAAACTGCAGCTCATCTCCAAAACTTTCTCTTTTAGAAACACTTCCTAGGTGGGGTCTTCCTGCAAATGTCTGCTCTGCCTTCAGATTAATCATTCCACCTTTGTATTATCATTTTATTTTATTTTAATATCTTGTGCATATTTACTATTGCTTGTATTATGATTTTTTAGCCTCCTCTTTCTCTTATGCCCCATGAGGCTAGGAGGATGTGTTAAAGTCTTTGGTCAACAGACTGACCTTAATGCCTTGCTCATGGTAAGTGTCATAAATATTTGTTGTACTGAGCTGATTACATACATCTCTTTTAATTCACAAATCAAGTCCATTTGTAAGCAAGCTGGGTTTCTCTCTCTTTTAGTAGGAAGAGAAAAAAATTCAAAAATATCAAATGTTTTGCCTAAGGTGAATGGAAGGGAAATTGGAGAGCAGGAGTTGGAGCCCGGCGGTGACTCTGGGTCCTATGTCTCCTACTTCGTCATTTGCTTCTCTTGAGCAGTACCGTGCGGTAGAACCTTCTGTGATGATGAAAATATTCTGTATCCGGGCCATCCAATAGGACAGCTACTAGACACATGGGCTAATGAGCACATGACCCCTGTGACTGAGGACTTTGACATTTAACTGATTTAATTGAAACTAATTTAAATCTAAATAGCCACACGTGGCCATTGTCTACTGTATTGAACAGCACAGCTCCAGACCACTGCAAACAGCCATCTTTTCTTTCAACCCATGGATTGCACGTGCTCAATAGACAAGAAGTTCTGAACCTGAGGTTTTTTAGCTGATTTCTGAACAAAGAAGAAATTCCACAAAAGGTTCCAACAGTCTTGCCAAAAAGGAAAAAACAAAACAAAACAAAAAAAACCCAACCCTGTCTAAAATAAAAAATGAAGTCCAAATCTAAGAGGAAAAGTAGATAAAAAGAGCAGCAACAAAAATGGCCAAATGAGAAAGCATTCCTTCAAAATAAAAAAGCTTTCTTAAAAACAGCCACAAATTTCGAGACTTGGCAAGGAACAGTTTGGCCTTGAGGTCCTCTTTTCCCATCTGGCTTGCATGGGAAGTGTATATACATCATTGGCCTCTCACTCTCTGTGTGTGTATGGATGTATATATATCACAACTGTACTCTTAAGTCTCTTAAGCTCAACTGTGTCATCCTGCAAGGAGGGAAAATCTCCAATTCAGGGACCACGCATATTAGAATTAAGTTATGGTCTCAGTGACAGTGGCTAGGTCACTCTAATCTCCTTCAGTGTTAAGGGGAGAAACCGACTGAATGCATTTGCATTGGGAATTCAGAAACAGCATGGAGAGAGACTCATCAGTCTCTGAATGGAGAACTATGAACTTGAGACTCCAGGGATGGTTTTGCTTGGCCAAAGTAGGTGCCAGCGTGAGGGTGGGGAGTGAAGGATGCTGGAGTTTCATTGCCTGGTCTCTATTCCTAGTTCTGCTTTCATCTGAAGTCTGACTGTGTGCTATTTCTTTGGGTTTACTGAGATCATCCAATATTCTACCCCATAATTCCATTTTTCTTGTCAAAAGACATGTAAGGCTAATTTGTCTTTTGCAATTGAAGGTCTTGACTGAGACTTGGAGGGAGAAAGGTGGGAGCAAAGGGAAGTTGGGGGGTGAGGGACCCCAGGTGATGAGCACCTGCTTGCTTAAATTTAAATGGAGAGAATTGCACCTTCTCCTTCCGATACCCCCTGACAAGCAGGAGGTGACTTTCCAGAGAACAGGTATTGCTCCGTGGTTTCCAGAGACCAGCTCCGATGAGTAAGACGAAGCTTTGTCTATCACTTCCCCACCCAAACCACACTCAAATAAGCAGTGAAAACCTCTAGACCTTAGTCATCACCAGAGGTAAATTACAAACTTCTGAGAGCGTGGCTTCTCAGAGCTCCCACATTTTCCTAGCATAATGAGCCTGCAGTTTGTGGCAAAGAATGACTTAAGAGCAAGTGAACTCACCATCTAAAAGGAGAATTTTTATCACTATCAATTGCTCTCTGACTGACAGGGCTGTTATTTCTGTTGGTAGGAGAAAAAGCTAAAGTACAGAGAGAAAACCTGGAAATAAACACAGCCTGCATAATGGCAAGGTTTCGTGTTGCCAAAGTCAAAAGAGCAAGTTCCTGGGTAAAAAACCTCACTCACTCCTTCCCGTTTTATAGTGATTTTGTATCATCCAAGTTGAGTAAAACAGCCACAGTGTTGTTGCAGTAGGGACTGTGCTGTGCCATGGTGGAAATACTGTCCCTGCAACAGAGGAGCTCAGAGTTGGGCAGGAAGATGCTGGTAAGCAGAGCACTAGGATTCCATGTGAGAAGTCTCCAGTGGAGGCATTGATTGCTTCATGGCACAAAGAGAGGACCGATGGATTTGGCCTGTGGAGGTCACAGAAGTCTCCCCAGAAGAGACGACATTCGAGGTGGATGTTGCAGGGTGGATGGGAATTGCCATGCAGAGGAGAGGAAAAGTGTTCTAGTCAGAGACAGCACAGAGGTGGGAGAGGGGAT